GGCTTCCCTTTTAACCCTGTTGGAGAAGTTTTTGGATGTGCATAGAGATTTGATTCTTAGAAGATCCCATTCATCTTTTTTATCTTCTCCCGGTTTTAGGTCCAACAAACTCTTTGACCTGTGACTGAGTTTTGAGTTTTTGGTTTTGTTTTTTTAAAAATTTATTTTATTATTTTAATGAACATTTACAGAGATTTTGGATTTCCATTCATTCATTGTTGCACCTTTCTCCCTGTCCACTCCTCCCCTCCAGTTCGCTCTTCTCTTTGAAAAGTAAAAGAAGAAAAATTCCTTCATTGGTATACAACCCCCCTGTCCCCCTCCTGTGCCCACTATGCAACCTTCATTCTGGACTCTTGTGATAACCATAATATACTATCATATATCACTTTTAATCTTTTCTTTCCCTCATCTGTTTTAATACAGTATATATAAGAGTATTATTGTGCTTAGAATGTAGAAATAAACAGATCAGGTATTATACATATGACAACAACCCAGAATAAGAAGTATGTTGCAGAGAGTACTGGGGGGAAGAGGAAAAGGAGGTAATTGTGTAACAAGGAATGAATTTTCTTTTAAAGTGAACTGGGGGAGGGTGAAGGGAGGAAGAGGGGGTAAATTTGTGCAATAATGAATGAAAATCTAACTTTTCTGAAAACTGTCATTAAAATCACAATTAAAATGAAGGAGAATTGACATCTTTGAGCTGTGGTGTTGGAAAAGAGTATTGAATATACCATGGACTGCTAAGAAAACAAACAGATCCATTCTGGAGAGGGTTAAATCAGGCTGTTCCTTGGAGGCAAGGATTTTGAAGCTTCATCTGACATACTTTGGGCATGTTGCAAGGAGGGAGGGACCAGTGAGGGACATTATACTTGGGAGGGTGGAAGGACAGCACAGGAGGGGAAAACCCTTGATGAGGTGGATTGATTCAGTGACTGGGGCGTTGGGGATGGGTGTGCCGGATACAGTGAGATTGGCACGGGACAGAATGGAGTTTAGGGCTGTTGTACGTAGGGTCACTGTGAGTTGCAGGCGACTTGACAGCACATTACAACAACAACATTAAAAAAGCAGAGTATACCAGAAGAATATCAATTTATATTTTATAGAATATGCAAAAGCGTTTCACTGTGTGGGTCATAAAAAATTATGGCTAACCTTGAGAAGAATTGGAATCCTAGAACAACTAATTGTGTTCATGAAAAATCTATCCTAAGACCAAGAAGCTGTTTGTCTGGACAAAGCAAGGAACAGTGCATGGCTTCAAATCAAGAAAGGTGTATGTCAAAGCTATATAGTTCCCCGCCGTCGAAAGCTACTCAATTTGTATACTTAGCAAATCATTCAAAAAGCTTGACTTTATGAAGAAGAATGTAGCATTGGCATCAGAGGAAGAGCAACCTATGCTACGTGGATGGTACAATCATGTCTGTTGAAATCGGGGAGAACCTAAAACACTTGAAGTAAATGCTCCAAAACTAGAGCCTTCAATATTACATTTCAACATCAAGAAAACAAAAGTTCTCACCATTGCGCCAATAGGCAACATGATTTAGGGAACAAAAATAGAAGTTGTCAACAATTTTATTTTACTTAGATCCACAAGCAACACCTTTG